CTAAAAACATTTACCGTTTCCATAATGTGATACATTACTGGAAGAATTATTCAACCAAATCAAACCATCTGTAATCGTCTTTTCTTTTTTTTCTTTTTTTACTAATTACAAGCAACCAAAAAACTAGAGTTCCATGACAAGACTCTTGTAAAGATAAAGTGAGGTGAGCCACAAAAAGAGAAATAAAGGAAGGGTGAAGACAGCGGCTATGAGTCAAAGGGAGAATGACATGAAACAGACCAGTTCTTAAAAATACAGGCTTCAAGACACTGATGGAATAAGTAGACAGTAGAATTCATAGCAATTCATAGACCACCAACATTATAAAGCAATGAGTCTAAATCAGTCTAACCATCAGGTACAGATCCTGTTTGCGTGTGTGTATTAACGTGTACTTAAGTTTGTGGAAAACAGTGCCTGGGAAGAAACCATGACCTCCCAGCAAGAGCAGGAAAAAATCCTGATGAAAGCAAACCAGCATCCTGTGCTCATGGAGCCAATGCACAAGCACAGATTCTACTATTTTTATCCCAAATTTGTGTAACCACATTATTTGTATTCATATCTAAATAGCAGGAGGGGCTTGGATGTAAATTAAATGTTCACACTATCAACATATGACGCCTATTCTTTATAAACATTGCCAACAGGTTTTGAAATGCTTGATGGCTTTTGAGACCTTAAAACACATATATCCCTCTACACAGATATAAATAACCGAACCCCTGAAGAGTCAGAAACAAGGGAGAAAGGCAGAGACTAATTTACCATGTAGAAAAACCGTATGAACTACATTAACCGCTGCAGCAATGTGTGACAAGCCAAGAGATAACTTGTTGAATATGCTTCTAGCATGATTATAGGCATGGTATTCAAATACCCCACAAATCTGAATTTAAGCCAGTAGAAACAAATAAGTGTTTTGTTGTCTGAGACGGAAAAATAACTGCTACGCATACCCATAACACCAAGTATCTTCTGGTGTCGAGTCCCTTCCCTCCTCATCAATTCAAGGGAAAATGCAGAAATAAAGAGCAAGCAAAGGATCATTGCTGCAAGATGTTGTGCATAAAGCTGCCGCTGTGCACTGCTATTTATCTTTTTCACTCTCACGCCTACGGGTTACTTCTTCTCAGTCAGAGTGCTAACTGGTCTGAACCTCCATTACACAGAGCACACTGGCCTCCCACTCCCACCCTACAGTGGCAGACTGCCAGGTGGGGAATAGTGTACGTGCCTGTGTGCGTGCGTTTATGTTCATGTGCTGCACAAAAAATACTTAGAAAGCATCTCATAACCTGTCAACATTTAGAAATTTGGCACAGAGCTCCAACACTCAAAATAACTCTAACCTTCTGTATAAACAGTGGGAATGCTGATATGGAACCCCTGGGCGGATACTAAAGCACCGTTTTGCATTCCCTTGTTTCCCTATCTCCCTGAAACTGTATGACCTATGGCAGTCCTCAAATTCCTCAGCCTAAGAGGTGCGCTCCACACCATTCAGCTTGCTATTAGCGTATTTCTCTGCACTCCATGCCACAGTGCCTCGCCTGTTCCCGGCAAACAGACTCCTTCTATACGACATCAGTATGCAGCTTGCTTAAGGGGGAAGAGGAGGAGCAGCAGAGGGGAGGAAGAAGGGAAGGTTGGGAAAACAAAGCCTCTATAGTCGTCTCTCCAGCCAGGCCAGGCCAAGCTGCACTAGCGGGGGCGGGTTATGTAATGCAACTAGCAGGGCCCACTTCCCTGTTCTGAGCTGCCGCACACACTAATCCCCACTGAGGAACGAGCCCTGCTTTAGAGGAAGGGGAGGGGATAGAAGGCGAGCTTTGATGGAACCAGTCGAGAAGGTGTGATAACAAGAATTTTTGCTTTTTATCTGCAACAAATCGACACACAGACACCTCCCCTCTGAGCTTATCTACTGATCTACCAGTCAGAATAATATCTGAACTGCTGCTACAGCACATTCAACACACTTTGGTCACTTATTCAAAACTATTTGTAAAAATGTAAATTTAATGTGTTCATGTGTGCTACAAAGCCTGAATCCATAACTTTAGTTCCACACATCTCTCTCACATAATCAGTGCTGAAATATAGTGGTAATAGGGGGTTACTAAAATGTCACTAAACAAACAGATATTGAATCATAACTAATCGTGTGATTTAGAATCAATTGACTGAGAAAAATCAGTGGCAAACCCGTCTTAATCACCACACACCTCAGTCACTTCTGCTAATGATGAAGACCAGGTGGAGGATTTAAAGCAGTTAAAAATAAAAGTCTGATTTACTGAGCCGCTTGCCTGGAAACCATGTGACTGGCATCACATGAGGGGAGGCAGGAGGAGAGTGGCAGAAGGTGTGTGTGTGTGTGTGTGTGTGTGTGTGTTACGTGCGTGCATGCCCAGACCCCAATAGGCACCATGCAGACTGCATCTGTTTTACTCTCAGCACCACAATAAGCTTTGTGATCAGTTTCCTTGGTTTCCACTGACAGTAAGCAGATATAGGCAGCACGGAGGGGTAAACAGTAGCAGCTCTTGCTGGTGCGCAGCTACAGGCACACAGACGCAAGAGAGGAAGGTGGGAGGAGAGTAAGAGAGTCAGAGACAGAGGAGAGAGATGAATTTGTGCAGAGGAAGAGGGGGGCTAAGCCAGTGTTGCAGCTGTTGGTCAGGACTGTAGGCAGTGCAGACAGCAATCACCAGGCTGCAGATTTCTAGTAACACATATTCACTGGTTTTGTGGCTCACAGATGGAAACAGTTTTTATACTGTTAAACTTTCAGGGGAGGGGTGATACTCAGTAATGCTCTAGTGCATCAAAGATCCAAGATTTTTGGACTGTCCAAAACATCATCAAAACAAAAAATTATCAAACAGTTTAGGAGTCTAAATCCATGATTCAGTGGCTACTACATATTTCAGTCTCTTTTTCAATAACAAGTCTAGAAAAAAATGTGATTTCCTGTACGCTGACTTAAATGAAGTAGATGTAGTTGTGTTTATGCAATGTAAGTGTGAGAGGGACGGAGAGAGGTTGATGGAGGGCTTTGGTTGGACACATGCTAGCTCTGCACTACAGAAGCTGTGACCTATTTTTCACAGTCTCTACCACACAAGCACATACGCACAGACACAGCCTCTGACAAAGGGATAGGAAAGCAGAGTTTAGGCATGCACTAAGCCCTGTTCTTAATACATGCATTCCAGTGGATAGAGCTCAATGCTGCTGCACTTGCCTGTTGGTACAAGCAACTTCTGCACACACACAGTCACTGCATGACTGACAATAAAAGGTAGAGCCTGACTTTTATAATATATAATCACATACACGTATACAAGTGCATTCATGAACAGGCAGTCTTTTTCAACACTGGTTAAATCAAACACAATGCACTAGTTGTTTGGTTTAAAAAGAAAAAAGATTGATATGCCTCAGACTGTTCTGATAATTTCATATTTAACCCTGGGTTTTCTAGGTAATTCAGGGCGATTCGCCATGGTTCGCCATGGTAACCAACTTCGCACACTTAATCTGTGTAGGAGTAGGTTAACTTCGATCAAAACTAATAAATGCATATAAAAGCACCACCTATTGGCCAATTAATTATCTTGGAAAATAGCAGCACTATTTGTGGAAGGCCCATGGAGCTTAGTGTGTGTATCATCACATGATCTCGTAGAAGCGCAAAAGTGTTCAGAGACTCATAAAACCCTTTGGAATTCCCTGACAATTTTTTTTTATATGAACGACCCTCATTATTGCAAAGGGCCAGCTCCACAGCAGGAGTGTACTCTTGTGTAGGAGGGCCCCCTCCCGTCTTTCTCATTTCATTTCTCCCTCTTGGCTGCATGCAAGGTCAAAGCCATTTCATTGTGCTCTTGTATACCTATATCATCATACAACAAAGACTGATTAAAGCACTAAAACCTTGTAGTAGGGCTGCATGACATATCTAAAATTTACCGTCATCACGATATAAACATCGCTAGCGATATACGTATCGCAAAGCATTGAACCGCAATAAATGGTATTCCATGTATTCATGCTCTACATGTCAATAGATTTGGCCAATCAGAAGGAGCCCTACTGCCCTAGATATTAAATAAAGATAGTACGATGAAGGGCCAGTCCAGGGTTTTTCCTGCATAGAGAATTGGGAGCCACTTCCATCAAATTTCGTGCTGTCTCCAACAAAAATTTTAGTACAGTGGAAACTGCAGTGATCAAGTTTGTCCTGGGCCAAATTAATGTCTATAAGTGGTTGATTACTATAAAAGCTTATTTATTATAGTCTCAGAACCTGAGGGCAAGGTAATAACGATTTCACACACACTCCGCTGCACTCTCAGGATAACATATATATATATACACTGTATATAACTATATATATAAATATATATATATACACACACAATATAATACTGTATATTCTCATTCTCTCTCTAGCTACAGTTTAAACATTGATCTGTTTGAAACATTGCTGATCATCACATGATGATTAATACTTTTCTTAAATGGGTTAAATCTTTCTTCAGAGCAGCGCATCTCCTCCCAGCCCATCCCTCTCTTCGTCTCTTGCTGACACACAGACACACACAAAAACAGTGTCATCGGACATATGTGTAAACTCAGATTGGGTAAAAACAACAGAATTTGTAGTCGGAGGAGATGGCGGGGCACACTTGGTTTGGCTCAATTTAGTTGTCTGTTAGCGTGAATGATAGAGACACAGAGAGGAGAAGTAAATTGAAATGTGTTTCATTTTTTGTTTTCTATGTTAGCAGTGAGCACGAAGCAGCTCAAACATGAAAGTGAGTTATATACATGGTTGACACCAACCAATATAAATCATAGGGTCTCAAGTTGCTTTACCAAAAAATACCCAACACACATCAACACACATCAACACACACACACACACACACACGCCATTAAAGGAGAGAATATCAGCTTGAAGATGTCAAAGATGATTTTCATTAACATACCGATTCCATGGCTGTGGGAGAACGTCAGTGGGCTAAAATCCAACTAGAAAAACACCTGCTGCTGCAGAGTCCACAGAATCCTGAGAAACAAGATGAAAAGAAAACCAGGCATTAATTACTTGGACAGCACAAGCAGTTTCACATTCCTTGCAATGGATGGGTATAGGGGTGAATATAGAGGGTCATGTTTCTCCTCCCAGGATCGGTTCTCCCACAGTTCTCTTACAAGCTGAGAGAGGCCTATGCTGGGAGAACGGGGTACGCAGGCACTAAAATGTAGTGAGCTGTTTGTTCCTGTTTTTTGTTCCTTCAAAACCTCAAATCCATTTTTAGAACATAGGACAAGGAGGAGAATATCTGCACCCAGTCCCTGTACTTCCATCATTATCACAAACTGTTATATTGTCTTGTCCTTAACTGTATGTCTTGAGCCCACCTTCCCTGACAAAGCAAACGACTTGTGTATAGACACATTATCAGTTAAATGACATTTATGGGTTTGTTTTGATTTAAGATTTACTAGCTGATAACCTGCCATAGGAATGTCAACAATCCAAAACATACTCGGTTTTTATGATGGAACATTCGTTCACATTACAAATGTGCAAACAATTGCATTTTGAGGTATGCAGCAATGAGATAGAAACTTTATACAAGTGGAGCCAATAAACTGTTCATCATTGAATAATTGTACACAGCTACAGGTATGACAGTAAAATACATGTGAGGGTCTATCTGTGTCAACAAATTAAATGAAAATGGCCTCTCTGCTATTTCTCAATTAATTTGGAAAACTTCCACAAAATGCTAAAAATAGGCCATTTGCACAAAAAGGCCTCTTCATATGGCTTTGTAAGGAATCCTACATACGAACATCTGATTTTAAAGTCACTTGGAATAAATAGCTTGGAGTTTTCTGGTGTAAAATGATTGGCAGTCCTTCCCCATATTTAACATTTCAACCTGAATTTCTGTGACATAAGTAAGATCACAACAACTCCAGTTAGAAAAATGGGGGTTGGGGTCTCAAAAAGCACTCATCAAAGCACTGAACTAAGAATCATAGACAGAAAGAGAGAAATGTTTCAGAATTTATAAACAGGACGTGGTTAGGTAATGCAATACTACAACTATAAACTAAACTCAGTGTTTTGCATTTCTGGTGTTTAGTCACAATGCATCAATCTCCTCAGGAACAAAGATCGTTATATGTAAAAATATTTTACTTTAACATTAGTTGTGTCATGTTTAATGGTTTGTAAAAGAAGCACATATACAGAGGACTGTTGCATTAAACCCCTAAGGCTATGGGACCTGGTTGTCCTCAGAACATTTCCATATCTGGTCCATAGTAAGGAGCCAAATTGGAACACATATCACCCATGGTCCAGCATCCGAGATCTGCTAATGTTCCTAACCTGTCTGGCGAGTTGCCCTTCCCCCAGTCCCTTCCCAACTATGAGGACAAGGATTTATCAGGATTTAGGAGGCGGGACATGGGACGGTATTTAACAGAGGTCCATTGTCGGGGTAAACTGGTAACATTCCAGTGATTATTGGACCCCCCCAGTCTGAACCCACATTTGTTCCATCAATCTGGTTAAAGGCATCACAAGGGGACTGGAGTCCAATGGTCGTTTGGAACAAGCTGTCATGGTTAATACCATTTAAATAGACATAGTACTATTATCTCACAATCTACATTCATGCAAAATTTATTATTTATTATTGGGTAGGAGTGATCTTGTACCTTTGCTTTGGGATAAATATCAAACAGGACCCTTGTAGAGGGTTTTACTGGATAGATGAAAAGCTCATAGTACAGGCAGGGTGGCAGGTGGGTACGCAGGATAGGATTAAGGCCAGACCTCACTGGAAAGGACTAAGTGATAAGAAGGGTGATGGTTAGATCTGTATTTGTGTTTGTTCTGAAGTGGAACCTCTGGGGCTTTCACAGGGGGGATGGCAGGATTGACAGAATGTAATAATACAGCCAGGAACCAGAACCCTATACTCCCAAAACCTTACACTTCACTGTATAGCACACTTCAGAAAACTAACCCCTCTGTGGGAATAAGACAAAGACATAGGACACATTGCTCAGCCAACAAGAACTGTGGTATAACAGATAAGACTAACGATAGCTTAAGAATATAAATACACATGTGGAACTGGTTGCATCAGTTTGTTAGAAGCTTAGAGTTAGCTTGGGCTGTAGCTGGTTAATCTTAGTTGACTGAAATTGCACCTACTCTTCCACCAATCGATTGGTTGCAGGAAAAAAGAACCTGAGGGTCATGTTGAGATTAACTAAACCGGCCATGGTACACTGAGTGAACTCTATTCAATCATTATTAGACCGAGCATATTAAATATGTCAATTGTCATATGTTCACTCAAAAAAGTCTCAGTGTTAAACATAAAGTGGACTTAGCATCCAAATTATATTGTTAAGCTATGATATGCAAAGTGCAATTTGACTTTTAAACACAACACAAACGACCTGACATGGTGTCAATTATTTTGGAATTGCTTCTGATTAAAATTCAACAAATGTTCAATAAGTTCAACCTGGCAGTCCCCATTAGATTGGGAGAGTTCAAAGTTATCAAAACCCATGCTCCTCGGTAACAGTGGCCTTATAGCTTATTAGCTTTGACTAAGCTACACAAAAAGAGAATGAGGTGATGATGCAAAAATAGTGAATGGTCAAATTTACAAAATGTTTACAATCCATATGTGCAATTAAATATTTGTGCACAGGGCCAATTTGGTGGAGCTGATGAAACATTAGAGGTCAGAGGCCAAACCCCTGCTTTAAACCTTGGTACAATACAACCTTGCCCTGAGTCAAAAGCCTGCCTCCGCAATGTGCAAGTGCAGCCATACATACAACTTCTAGTTTTGTATCACCATGACAACATGTCTGCATATTAATTCATCTGCATGTTCACTGGACGTCACTGTTGACAAGCAGCTGAAATATCAGCTGCGTGTTTTAGAGATCTAAGCTCATCACTGCAACAGAGATGTCACCATATTGGTGGGGATCTGAACCGTTTGTGAGGCACAGGGGGGCAAGAAGCACATGTGTGGTCGAGGCAGCTGCACTACAAGCTCTTTAGAAACACTGCTGTAAGTGAGAGAGCTGGTGAGACCAATGATGGTTTGCACAGTGACCTTCAACAAGAATCAGAGGCTGTCTTTGATGCAGATAAGGATAAATCTCTTCACTGGAGCTGGGGCAATGGCTTTATACTAGAGAGACTGAAACGTTTAGTTGCAGCCAAACATGGCTTCTTGCTAGTCGGTTTTACCCATTCAATCATTGCAACAATTGTCCTACAATTTTTCACTGACTAAAGCTTCCTGTGCGCTCTGATGTCCAATATGGAGTCAACTATTAAGGAAAGGTCTATTACACAAACCAAAACCTGCACACTGCTAACAACTAAAATTAACTGAAAAAATTTAAGAATCCTGGGTCAATGTGCATGAACAATGGGAAGGCATAACGTTTGTTTGTGTGGTACCTTATCCCAGGCTAGCCAAATTTTAGCAGAGTTCATATACAGGAAACAGTATGCACTGGAATAGAAATGTTGGCAGAAAATCTCAGCAAGACAAAACCAACATTTAGTGCCTTTTGACATGATGAAATAAATTATATCGGCCCAAAGCAACCTGATGATAGACTCATGAAAAAGTGCATTAGCCTTAATTTATGTTGTTGGCTCCCATATCAATGTGATAAAAACCAGCAAGTGGCTGACAGCACAACGACACAGGCATCAGTCCTGATCGCCAAAAGTGGTCAAATCTTATTAACTTTCCAAGTTAACATCAACATCGGCGTTAAAGTGTATGGTACCTCTTTTTCCTCCTGATAAAATTTTATTCTTTCCATTTCACGTGTCTCGTGTGTAAGAGACTTCATCAACATGCCCACTCATTCTCATTTCCAAACAATTTCCTGCTGCATTCCCCACATGGAATAACTCAGACATTTTACCAGGGGCCTGCCAGGAAAAGTTCCAGAAAATCCCATTAGCAATTGACGTGGACACTCTCGTATACAGCCACTCTCAGGATTTCAGGAAAATGTCCAGATTTCAGCATGTCTGAAAGCAGCTTAAGTTATTCACTTATGAAAAAGTTCTTTGCACAGATTGGGATGCAACGCAATGTTTCAGCTCTATTTTATAACGTTAGTCTTTTCTTAGGCTACATAGCCACTGTTGTTTTTTGTATGTTCAAATATTTTTAGAAAGGTATGTAGAAGTAATTGTTATGTGTTGTAAGTATTGTTTTTGTTTTTTGACAAAGTATCGAAATGGGTATCGAAAATCAAGGAAATGTCATGGTATCAGTATTGATCACAAAAGTTTGGGTATTGTGACATCTCTTATCAACATTTTTAAAATAAGTTTAGCCTGTTCCATTTTAATTGTGAAAAACTTCCAACTGAAACACCTAAATACTAAAATTATCTACTACGCATGGATGAAACACTGCCTATAATATCCAGGGGGTTGTCTGTCAGTGAAGAACCCCTATATAAGATCAGAGCACAAAACCAAATGAACAATAGGAAGCAACAGCAGCTTAATATAGCCGTCTGGATTTGGCCTGCAGTATGTCAAAGCATCAGGTATCAGAGCTTATTGTAATATCTTCACTAATTAGATTCAGTCATCTGCTCTTCTATGCGCAAATACTGGAGGGGAAACCTGACACTGGAGGGTATGGGGAGACAGCTGAGGGGGGTGGAGAGATTGGCCAGGGGAGGAGAAAGATAAAGAGATGCACACCACACCTCTCCTCCTCAAAAACATCTAAATTATTGATAAAGCCTGGCTTCTACAGGGAGGGACCACAGCACACTGGTCCTCCATATATCCAGCATGAACAACCAGCACAGACAGCAGCATGACAGCTCTATCGAAATCAGTTTATCCAAACAGCCTAATGTGAGATAAAACATCTGCATAGAGGACAACAATGAGAGGTATATAAAAGCAAATGAAGGAAGGAGCATGAGGAGGGGGGGTGGGGGAGGTGTGTGTGTGTGTTTGTGTGT